AGTACATGATGGGGTTTGTGGAGCACATGCAAATGGGCATATGATGTCAAGACAAATAATGAGATGCGGATATTTTTGGTCCACACTGGAAAGTGATTGCATCAACTATGCTAGGAGATGTCATAAATGTCAGATTTATGGAGACAAGATAAATGTTCCACCCCATCCACTTCATGTAATGACGTCACCATGGCCTTTTTCTGTGTGGGGCATGGACGTTATCGGGCAAATTCATCCGAAGGCTTCGAATGGTCACCGTTTCATTCTCGTAGCAATTGATTATTTCACGAAATGGTAGAGGCTGCGTCATACGCCAGTGTCACTCAATCCACTATTTGCAAGTTTCTGAAGAAAGAAATTATGTCGGTATGGTCTACCTGAAAGGATTATCACCGATAACGCAACAAACTTGAACAACAAGATGGTGAGTGCTGCTTGCGAACAGTTCAACATAAAACATCACAATTCCTCTGCTTACAGACCAAAGATGAACGGAGCAGTAGAAGCAGCAAACAAAAATATTAAGAAGATAGTGGAGAAAACAACTGAAACCTACAAAGACTGGCATGAGAAGTTGCCTTTTGCTTTGTTCGCTTATCGAACCTCGGTACGTACATCGACTGGGGCAACTCCATTTTCACTAGCCTATGGAATGGAAGTAGTGCTACCCATTGAAGTCGAGATTCCATCTCTCAGGGTCTTATCAGAAGTCAAACTAGATGATGCAGAGTGGGCACAATCCAGATATGATCAGCTTAATCTGATAGATGAAAAAAGACTGAAAGCCATTCATCATGGTCAAATCTATCAGAAACGAATGATCCGAGCACGACAAAAAGGTGCGCCCAAGAATATTCCGTGAAGGGGATCTAGTGCTAAAAAGAATTTGGCCAGTCCAGAAAGATTTCCGAGGAAAATGGACGCCAAATTGGGAAGGTCCTTATGTCGTGAAGAAGGCTTTCTCCGGAGGAGCCCTTATCCTGGCTGAAATGGACGGACCTGAGCTGCCACATCCCATTAACTCAGACGCAGTCAAGAAATACTTCGCTTAGGATGAAAACCCGAGAGGGCGTCCTAAGTTGAAAAAAAAAAAAAAAAAAAACGTTTAGGGTGAAAACCCGAAAGGGCGCCCTAAATCAAAAAAAGAAAAAGAGGAAAAAGAAGAGAAAATAAGGTGGGTTCAAGATGAAAACCCGCAAAGGGCGTCTTGCAACTAAGGATGGGTCCAAGTTGAAAACCCGGAAAGGGCAATTTGGATATCAACGGTGGAAACATCCCGGCACATGAATCTTCTACGAACCCAACAAATCGGAGAAATGTCGCACCCTCCCAAACGTTGTCGCATTTTCAAAGATCCTTTGGCAAAGGCTGCACTCAGAGTCACCAAACGGCTTTTCAACTCAGAAGTGCCCACGTTATCGAGATCTAAGACATTCATTTACACATCATTGTGTATTCGTTTTCTAGAATGTTTGCCATGTATTATTTGTTCTTCTCCTCCCTTATGAATAAAGACCATCTTTCCTCCAATACCTTTTGAGCATCTTGAATTAGATTTAAACCTAATGGTTTATTTATTTTTATGAAAGATAATCGCATATTGCTGTACAAAGATTCATTGAAAAGTACAGGTACCCAGAAGCCGATCAAGGCTCATGCACATGCTTGAGATGGTTGAGGAGCATCTTAAAAAAAAAAAAAAATCATCAAACGTTTGAAGAATTTATGATTAGAGATCGGAACTTCAAGCTCAAGAGTCAACAACGACAGGCCACCGGAGATCGAGATTACTCTCCAGAGCTCAGAATAACATATGTTGCATATGCATTTTAGGCATACCTAAGAGCATGACATCCATAACATCACATATATGCATATCTTTGCAGGTTTTACCCAGAGCCAATTTCAACTTCACAACGAAGGATATTGGACTCCAGACAACGTAAGTTCAACTTCACGACGAAGGGACCGCTGGTTGTCAACAAATATTTCTCAATGTCAGAGCCAATTTCAACTTCACAACGAAGGATATTGGACTCCAGACAACGCAAGTTCAACTTCACGACGAAGGGACCGCTGCTTGTCAACAAACATTTCTCAATTTCAGAGCCAATTTCAACTTCACAGCGAAGGATATTGGACTCCAGACAACGCAAGTTCAACTTCACGACGAAGGGACCGCTGGTTGTCAACAAACAACTTCTCAATTTCAGAGCCAATTTCAACTTCACAACGAAGGATATTGGACTCGAGACAATGCAAGTTCAACTTCACGACGAAGGGACCGCTGGTTGTCAACAAACAATTTCCAAATTTCGGAGCCAATTTCAACTTCACAACGAAGGATATTGGCCTCGGAACAACACAACTTACAATGGATTTCGACTTCACGACGAAGGATATCCAATTCCCAGGCTTAACTTCGCGACGAAGGGGCCATATACACATAAAACGAAGGGTATCATACCCTAACGGATGGACCCAACTTCACGACGAAGGAGTCATCTGTAACAACACAACACCAAAGTCTTCAAGTCGAGTTTCAGCTTCACAACGAAGTATCTTTGGCTAGAAGACAATCCATGAGCTACTCTGAATTCGATTTCAACTTCACGACGAAGGATTCAGGCTCATGATTTTCTAGTTTTGACTCAACCTCACAAAGAGGGGGTCATTTCGTATTGACAAACCAGTTTCCATATTAGATTTCACCTTCACGACGAAGTATCTTGATCCAGAAGGCGATTCAGAGACCACTTGCCCAGAGCTTTAAGTTCGATTTCAACTTCACGACGAAGGATATCGTGCTCAGAAGCTTCCACTCGACCTCTCGACGAGGGAATTATTTCACATTTCAAATCAATTTGACAAGCCTTAATATCAGACTTCAACCCTACGACAGAGGATATTCGATATGGCCGAAAATTATGTCTTTTAATCTTTGCTCTATTATCGTTACACGAAAATGAGCAAAGAGGGGCAGCTGAAGACACTCAATGTCGACCATGGAAATTATAAATTATGATATTATTATGTAATATTATAAATTATAATACATTTTGTTTTTACAGGTCCAAGTATTACAAGTGGATATAACCCAGTGGCCCAGCATTGATCCAACTCCAGCCCGTTTACACCAGACCCAAACAGTGGGTGGCCCAAGTCAAACCCTAGCAACTTCTCACCCTCGGCGCCGCAAGTCACTCCCAAGGAATCCTCGTGCTCCACGCTTCTCCATCACCGGCAGTTTCGCTCGGTTCAACAAACAAGTAGGGTGTTAGTAGGAAGCTAAGAACAAGCAACAAACCGAGAATTGTTCTCGGAATCAAATGCTAAAGATAGGATCATTTTTGTACTATAAATAGGGTATGTAAATCGAACAAAAGGGGGAGGAAATACCAAGCAAAAGTGACAAACAAATTGCATCCAATAACAGTAGTTTTCTTTTCTTCGAAGCATTTATATTTCGACAGAGAGCATCAAGAGGTAAATTCCATACCTTGCAACGTTTGGCTTGCATGCGTGTTCTTTCTTCATTTTTATTTTGGCTCGAATCAACCCAAAAAAATTATTTCGGCCGATGAACTTTTAAGGGAATGTCGAGGTTTTAAAATCCAGATCTAGCCTCCCTTGAGGCCACTTTGCAAAAACAAAAAACATTTTTGAAACCGGGAGGACAAAAGCTTTTAAAAAAAGACAAACTTTTTTTGTTTGGCCGCCGATGAACGACGGCCGCCGCCGATCAACGGCGGCGGTGAGGCGGCACACGGTTGTCGGATTTTGGAGATGGTGGGAGGCCTGCCGTGTTCTTCAAAGAGTGAAGAACAGATGAGAGAATTGAGGAGGCTCTCGTATGAGAAGAAAGGAAAATGAGAAATTAAGAGAGCAAATTGGCTTTTATACAAAGCCCATACCCGGCCTAGCGACCCGCGCTACGACCCGATCCGAGTCTCAGACCCGAGTGTTTTACAAGAAAAGAGAGATTCGCGCTTTGGCCCTCCATGTTTTAAAACATTTAATTTAGTCCCCTAAATCGATTTTTATACCCGAAATCTTTGTAAATTGACCCTTGAATTTATTTCGTGTTCAATTCAATCCTTTTTATCATTATTGTTTTTATTATATATATATATTTCCTTTTTATTATATATATATTTTATCCATATAACTATTATTATCGTTTTCATATATGTATATATTCTTATTTATTGTTATTATTACTTATTATCATTATCATTAACATACATATTTTATTTATTTATTGTTCTTTATTATTATCATCGTACCTTTTTGATATATTTTTTCTCGTTATACATATATTTATTATTTTACTTTATTTACTATATATATATTGTTTCTTTTCCTTTATTATATTCATCCTATTTTTATTTGTTTTTTTATTGCCTTTATCTTATCTTGTTCTTATTTGTTTTCTTTTAATTACTTTATCTTATTTATTTTTGTCACATTTTTTTCTTTCTAACAATCTCTACCTTTCAAGGATGTATTTCACTCAATCAGTGTAAGTAATTCAGGATCAAATTTTACCTTTTAATTAAAAATTACAATTTTCTTAATTTAAGACAACTGGAAACTACGTAGTACCGAAAGGGCAGTTCAAGGGTGCTAACCCTTCCTTGACTGTAACCGACTCCCGAATTCGATACATCTTTGGTAAGACGCAGATCAGGTAAGAAATAAGGTATCCGATCAACCCATTTATTTTAAATAAATGATCGGTGGCGACTCCAATCCACATTTTTATAGGTCGAAGCCCAATTCCGGGGCACAACCGAAAGACGGTTACGACACAAACCATATAATATATATATAGGTATATATGTATAAAATAATAATAAAAAATATGGACGAAAATTAGTGTCTACAATACAGATGGATAAAGAACCCATTTCAGAGATTGCCTTTTCCAGTTCATCCCGAGACATGCAAACAGGGTTGCTCATTCACCGGCATCCAAAGGTTTGAAGGAGTTCACTGACCTGTTCTGGGTTGAAGATGCACCTCCCTCCGCCTCTGTTCTAGCAGCAATTGAACGAAGATTCATCGATCCTCCTTGACGATTGATTCGCCTGTCTCCTGGGGTTCGCCTTCTGTCCTCTTTCGAACCCCGTCTGGTCGTCTTCATACTCAGCGCCGTTTGGATCATGCAAAGTGGAAGTTGAAGACCCTTCGCCGTCTCTTCTTGGGTTGGGGGGGGGGGGGGTTCGTGGCATTTCTCCTATTTGTTTTTGTTTTCTCGTCTTTTCGGTTTTCCTCTTTTGGGGATAGTGTTAGCTTTCTATTCCCACGTGTTTTTTTTGGATTTTGACCAATTTTCTCTTTTTTTTTTTGAGGGTGTTATACGGTGCGGTACTTTTAATATACGGTTAAAAAAAGATGATATCGATTTTGTTATTATTTAAATAATAAAACCGGTAAAAAAATTACTTAAAACATTATTATTTCTATCTAAAATTTATTTGACTTATTATGCAAGTTATTATGGCAAAGATGCTTTCATAGCACAAAGGCGTATTCATGGGATTTATATAGAAAATTTATTTGACTTATTATGCAGGCAAAACTTTCGAGATAATGTTCTGAAAGAAATTAATTAACGAGCTAATGCACTCCCAAGATTAATTGCTCAAATAGGGTGAAATCCACAGTGTTAGCCGTAGGTCGCCATGCACTCCGGGCGACCTACCCTTGCTCAAACAGAGAGAATGAACGTTCAAACAGAGAGAATGAACGTGTTGCATGGCACATGCACGTCCCAACACATAGGTCGCCATGCCCTCCGGGCGACCTTGTAGGTCGCCATGCACTCCGGGCGACCTACCCTCGCTCGTCTTCTCTCGGATTCCCTCGCATAGCTCGCTCGATTGCCCTCGGATGCCCTCGCATAGCTCGTTCGGATGGCCTCGGTCGGATGGCCTCGGTCGGATGGCCTCGGTCGGATGCCCAGCGTGTTGGGACGTGCATGGCACATGCAATCTCTTGTAGCTCGCCGGGAAGACATTGCGACCTAGTAGGTCGTCCGGAGTGCATGGCTACCTACGGTCAACACTGTGGATTTCACCCTATTTGAGCAATTAATCTTGGGAGTGCATTAGCTCGTGAATTAATTTCTTTCAGAACATTATCTCGAAAGTTTTGCCTATTATGCAAGTTATTATATTTATGTAGGTATAAGCACATGCACTTCTCTTATTTTCCTAACCTCATTAATTTTCTCGAGAAAACTGAGTCATGCATTCCAGAATCATTTAAATACCATAATCTAAGATTGAAAATATAATTTTTTTTCCTTCTTTTTGGGATAAAACTAGTGAGATTTACAAATGTTGTATTTTATTTTTATTCAAAAGTTATGTTTTCAAAACTGACACCTAAAGAAATATGTTTGATACACTTGTTCTCAAAATTTGTTTGTATTTTCTTTTAAGTGTTATAAGTAAAATTACATCAACAATACATAATTAGACCAAAAATTAAAATATGTTCGGATAATATTTTATATGACTTAAATTAAATCAATAAAAAGGTAAATTTAAATTTACATATGATATTTATATAAATTAAAACTTAAACTTAAAATATGTATATATAGACTATAGTATGATTTTATATTTAACTTATTAATAATGAATAAATCTTGTCAATGGGTTATATTTAATCTCCTATATGTAGAAGAATATTAGTATGTTTTTATATTTAATTTATTAATAATGAAATATATCTTGTCAATGGATTATATTAGAATGTTCATTAATATATTATCTTAAAATTATTTTTAATAGACATGCACCATACGTTTTTGTGGTTAAAAGAATGGTTGTTGTTTCTAAAGATTTTAGGTTCGAGCACCCTCGATTATAAAGTATTTGAGCATTTATTGTCAAATGATTAAAAACTTAAAACATATATCACTTGTAAGCATCTTAAATTAATAAAAAAATTAATAGATAATATATGGTATAATTCATTGATAATTGATATAAAAATGGGTAGATTTTAGTGAAGTTTTAACTTAGCTCAGTGGTTTAAGTAGATTATAGGTTGATAAAGTCTATCTTCCTAGTGCCACCAGTTTATTTCATTTGGTTTTATCAAAATAATTTTATATATAAATTTTTAATGAATTTCTTAATTTAATTTAATGGTTAAGCATTTGACTAATCAGATGCTGATAAGGGAAAATATAAAAAATATAGGGTAAACTATATCGGTAACCACCTAACTATAGTCTATCTTCATTTTGACCATCATTTTTGAATTTTTATCAATCAGGTCACCCAACTATTTAAATGCATTCAATTAAGGCACTTGACTTTAACAGTTGTGTTGATGTGACAGTTAAAATAATTTGTATAATTATACATTTAGTCCTTATTATTTATATATTGTATCAATTTGATCATAATTTTAGATGAATTCAATAAATTAATCCCGATATCTATCGTGAGACAATTAGAAGACTTTTATATTTAATTTATATATAGTTTAAATATTTTTTTCTCCAACCAATCACCATATGAGGAAAGGAAAATAAACATGAGAGAAAGAAGCAGATATTTAATTTATAAATAATTTAAATATTTTTCTCCAACCAATCACTATATGAGGAAAGGAAAATAAAATGAGAGAAAAAAAAAGCTACGGGGGAATAGAACCTAGGTCTGTAGGAGGGGTAAAACACGCTTCAACCACTGCACAAACACCCATATTTTTACTATTTATCTTATATTATAATTAATGCCAGAAAATGATAATAAAAGTAATAATAAAAGGACTCAATTGAATGCATCTAAACTATTAAAGAAAATCTAATTTTCAAATTATAATTGAATACATTTTGTATATATTTAAAAATGTAATCCATATAATATTTAAAATAAAAATAAGTTTAATATCTTTAAACTAAAATAAGTTCAATATAATACTTTCAAATATATTTTCCCTGTAGAGAAGGTGGAGATAAAAATATATTAAATTAAGTTAAAAAAATTAATATTTTTAAACTAAAATAAGTTCAATAATATATTTTCCCTTACCACCAATTACCCCACTCTCTCGCTGCTGAAAATCGAAGAACAATGTGCTAATCGATTGTCAAAACATTGAATATTAAATGTTCTATTTGAACCTTTAACGGCAACCGATTGGTGGACGGATGTCAAATGACGTGCATTGTGAGAGAATGAGACTTCAGTGCAGTGGCAACAATGTGCTATCGACATCAATGGATGGTGATTTATGGATTATGACTTAGGGTTTTTATTTATTTAGGGTTTTTTAGAATTTAGGGTTTTTAGGACATTTTTTAGGATTTTTTAGAAAATTAATATTATTTATATCAACAAAACGGCGTCATTTTAGGCTTTTGTAGGCATTCAGGTCAGCAACATCACGACATGGGGCTTCCATGCCATCGTCTCGTTAAGCTATTAACAGTAGAGTAGCATAATTGCTCTTAAAAGTAAATGTTAGTTTGGTGGCAAAATTGGCAAAATTAAAAGGTTAGAGGTATAAACAAGTCAAGGTTAAAGTTTGATGGTATTTAACGTAATTTACCCTATATTTATTGTAAATCTTCCATTAATTACAATTTAATATATATATATATAATGTATTTAGATATAAATAAAATATTAAACTTTTTTAATTGTTTATGTGTTCTTGTATTTTATAATTTGTCTATGTTCTAATTCTAATTTCTTTTTACTTCTACCTTTTTTACCATTGACAAACTTTTAAATGATAAATATAATTTGGTGTAAACTTCAAACCTTTAAATGACCATCCAGCTCAGTTGGTAGAGCACAAGGTTCTTAACCTTGAGGTCGTGGGATCGAGTCCCATGGAGAGCATTTCATAATTTGGAGGTCTCCTACGGAAGCTACTCTCAACCTAATATTGGGGGCAACCTACTATCTTACCTCCCCCTTACCCATTACATATGGAAACAAAGGACAACCATTTTGTAAACTTCAAACCATTTGGTACCTTTGGCGCAATGGTTATCGCTCTCTATTTCTTTGTATTGATGTTGATTCAATTCCTCTAAGTGCAATTTCATTCATATCCCTTTATTTTCTATTCAATCGGTTGGTGACACGTGTAACCTTCTAATTAGATAAAAAATTATTTAATAAAATAAATTGAAATTAATAAATAGAATCCTCCAATCATGCATTGATAGGTGTCACTAATGACATGTGTCACGATCATGTGTTAACACATGTCAAATCATGATTGAATGTTTAATTTTTTAAATTAAATTTAAATTAGGACCAAATTGGTAGAATGTATAAATATTAGGACTAAAATGAAATAATATTGATAGTTTTAGAATTGATATAGAATATTTTAAAATTTAGGATTAATTTAGAATGACATCATAATTTAAGGACTGGTATAAAATATTTCAAAGTTTAAAGATCAATTGAAAACAAATATTATAATTTGGAGACCTCTTATCCAATTAAAGGGACAGCCCTTTGAGTTCAAGTGACAACGCAAAAAGCATGGACCTTCATTTTAATAATAATAGTCCAAAGTTGAATTTCTCAACTTGAGAACAGTCCAAGTTCAATGTAGAACTATCTAGAAACCTTCTTACATTTAAAAAAATGAACTAATAAATGCTGTAATGTTTGAACACATTCACATATGACTGTTGACTGAAATTCTTGTTTTTTAAGTGACTGAGATTGACTATAAATATGTAACAAAAAATACATCATTTATTAATTTTTATAAAAATTTATAAAATTTTGTGAAAATAAAAATAATCTGTCAAAAATATATCAAAATATTTCAATTATATAATAACTTAAAAAAAATTAAAAATAATGGTCATATCACCCTCTTTTATCAATCATTGCCTTTATGCATAACGGAGGTAAGACCAAATATTAAGGGGTAAAATAATTTTATATAAAGAAAACAATAATCTATTACGTATTTAAATCTAAAATGGGGGCAAAGGCCTTATTTAACTAATATTTAAACTAAAAAGGACCTAAAATGCTATTATACCAAAAAGGTTTAAGAAAGGCAAAAACCCCTCCCATTGTCCATGCAGATCCGTCTCTACGTACTTATAAAATGGAAAAGAAAATAAAAATTGTGAAAAAGGAG